GCGCGAAATGCAGGCAAGAGCGCCGCGCGCCGGGTGCCCGCGCAACCCTCTGCGGAGATCGTGCGTGTCGCTTACCGCGCACTTAGGTGTCACTTTTTAATTTGTAACTACTTATAAGTAGTACTTACGAAAGTTATGTAAGTCTGAAAAAGGACTTACAGAGAATTTACAAAGATTTACAAAAACCACGTTTGGAGACTGCTTTGGCAGCACTTGCAGCGTGTGGAAATTTGCATGCATAAAGCCTTAAAATTATTTTTTGAAACTACGAAATTATGATATCTATGTAGCCGCACGTTTTCTGGATACATATTGTATTTCTTTTGGTCTAAATATGAAACGTACCTGTCAATGTGCCCATATCACATCCTGTATATATACGGAAGATTTTGCTTTTCATATTTCGGTCATTACCGGTTGTCGGTCGTTACCGAAGGTTGACATTGACCGTGGCATTTGGTTTATTGTCAGGGGGTTCGGATTTCAGCTCGAAGGCACCTTCAGATATATGGGGGACGAAGATCCGGTGTCTTTACCCATTGAACAGTACTTTGGCTGCCCAGCCCAACTGTTTGTTTTTCTTATATTTTGGTTTGTGGGAAGAGTGACATGTTGCAAAGGAATATTTTTTTGGCAGCTGGAGGCCTGAGTTCTCTCGGAGCATTCGGTATGTTGTGCTGAAGTCGCATTGGATTTTGATCAACGGCATTCCTCACTACAGATGCTACATGGGTGATGGTCCCGTGAAAGAGTAGCTTGGCCCATTGTTGTTCTTTGGGTTGTGTATTTTTGACCTGACCGGGTCACTCACGACACGACTTGTTGTGACATCAAATCCATTTCAGGAAATCCATCTGGTATTTCCAAACTACATGGGGATTGCGGAACAATGAGGAGAGGTTTAGGGAGATTTTCCAGACCTTGGTCGAGCACTGCAGTGCTGAGGACTCGTGATATGCGCAGTCTTATGGGGGCAAAACGATGGTAGTGAAACCTGTGTTTGCGCGGTAATTACCGGGATGATTTTGTTCAAAAGAACAGTGTTGCAAAGTGAAGCCTGGAGTCATGGAGTGAAGACCTGGGTTTTTACTTGCATACTCTGCTCGGTTGTAGTGCTCGGTTTTGACCGTCAATTTTTGAGGTTCAAGAAGTTCAAGGCATGCCCACTGTAAAACTTGGTGAGGTGTTGAGGCAGCTATGCGCTGCTGATAAGTTTCTGGGCAATGTAAAATCATTGCCTTCGTTTGCCAGCATCGAGGAGACACAGTTTCAGAAACTGAGTTCCATGCTGCAAGCGGCAACGTTTCATGAAGAGCAATGCACCAAGGCTGCAGAGCACGTCCATGGGTTGAGACATTTCTCGCCAAAGAAGGTCAATATGCTACTAGCATCTGTGGCGGCAGCTTGTGGTCAGTCAGGATCGAAAGAGAAGGCAAGTAAGGGTATGTGTGGCCCTTCTTGTGAGGCTCAAGATTACTCTAGCCTTTACCGTTTTCTTCCTGACTCTGTTTGGAAGAGACTGGAAGGGCAGCTGGCTCATCGTTTGCACGTTTTGTGCGCCTTTGCAGCGAAGTTGGGTCTATTTT